GGGAAAGAGGAATAGACAGATTCAAAGGGCTGTCTAGCCTTTCGGACCATTCTTGCCTATCTGTTCCCTTACAGATTCATTTATAAGGGCTAGAAAAATATGTTCTCTGAAATGTATGTAAAAATGTCCCCATTTCTCATTTGCCTTATCTTTAATTTTAAAATTCTCCCCAATACTGAAATTTTTATATAATCAAAATTAATCATTTCCCTTTAATATTTCTGATTTTGAGGGCACACTTAGGAAAACCTCCCCTCCACAAAGATTATATAACATAATTTTACCATGCTGCTTATTTTTTTAATACTTAATGTGTTGATCCATTTATAATTTGAGTATATGGTACAAGATAGTGCTGTGCATTTTTCTTAATCTTTTGCCATTTTTCCCAAGATAATTTTTAAAAGCCTGTATCTTTACCCCAATGATTTGACATACCACACATATAAAACACTAAATTAATTAAGTTCTGCTAAAATCAAGTCTGTTGTGTCAGGTAACTGTTGCATGTTTCAAAGCTACAATTATAGCACCTTTACCAGGCAGAAAACACTTAAATTTAGCAGAACTTAATAATTATTAATAAAACAATACTAGATTTTTTTCATTTTTCTGGGGTACAAAAGTTTAGTTTTTTATGCTTTTATATACGTGTACATTAAGTCCCAGAAATTCCACAGTATTTTAAAATTCATATTAGTATCACAATAAGTACATCATGCTACAAACTGATTTTTTATTCATTTTTTTATAGACCTAATTCATTCACTTACTAGATAGTAAACTACTATCTAGTATTTTATCAAGAACCTATTTTCCCCTTTTTTTATGAGAAATGCTTAAATACATGGAGAAAATAATTTAACACACAAGTATATCTAGAATCCACTTTTATGTACAGTGTGATCTAAATTTAATTGTTTCCCCTATGGATAGGCAATTATCCCAACAGCAATGAATAACTCATCCTTCAGCTACTCAGTAGCTTTGAAATAAGAATAAAAAAAAGGATCGCATGCCCACTCAATGCCATCTTGGAGCATTGTCTAATAGGCCCACCCAAGGAATATTTCATTCTATAAAGGATATATCCTTGTTTGACTTGCTATTTTCTCTTGATTAAGGTCTATATTCTATAAAATAATATGTTAACTTGCAGATTTTTTTTGTCTGGTACATATGCAAATAATTTGGTATGGTTATGGTTTTATTGCCTTGTAGGAGATTAACCAGTTTTGTATACAACAAATCTTATTCAAACATTTTTTCTTCAATTCCCCAAATGCTCTTGGAACAGTTTCACCATCTTGATGATTTCCTCATTGATAAGTAAATGTCTGACATGCGTTCACGCTAAAATTATCACACTCCAACATAATGAGTGATGCTGTTATCTCTAACCCAGGGCAGGTTTCCATACATGTACAGGGCAGTTTCAGGCACTCTTTGGATCCATTCACTTATTTGCCTCTGTCTGCACCATTCACACAACTTTCATTAGCTTGGCTTTATTAGATCCTATATGACAATGGGCAAGCCCTCTACTTTATTGAATGCTCTTTGGGGGGGGGGGTCTGGGCCTGCTTTTGCAACTTCATTCTTATTTACAAATTTTATAATCAGTTATCGTAAAGTTCCAAGAAAAGTCTTGCTGAGGTTTTGAGTGGGACTTCATTACATTTTCAGAGATTTTGCAGAGAACTGTAAACTTTACAATATTATATTTTTCACATCTATAAACATTTATTCAGGTCTTCTCTTACTTCCTTCAATAAAGGAAGGAAATATACATAAAACACTGCACTGAGGTACGTGTACCCTTGCAAAGACGCCATGCTAGATGTTCCTTATATTGCTTTAGTTTTAGAATGTGTACCACCAAAGCAAGCACAGTTAGTAAAATTTTAACTGAAAAAAATGACTTGTCTGTTCCACTTCTGAGCATAACCTAGACGTTAAACTCAAATGTCAGGAAAAAAATGTATTTTTAGCTAGAGAAAAATGTTGTTATCGGGTTTATAGAGGCTAAGAAAAACAGTACATCATATTTCATTTACAGGTATAGGTATGCTAGAAAATGTGTCCTTATTTTGCCCTGATTTTACTGCTTTAATTTCTGTAAGTTTTTAAACAGCTTTACTGATACATTATTCACAGACCATACAATTCACTCATTTAAATTATACAATGTTTTTTAATATTCATAGATAGTATGTCACTTTCACCAAAATCTAATTTTACATTTTGTCACCCAAAAGATACTCTATATCCATCCACCAGCAATCGCTTCGCATGTCCCTCCACCTCTAGCCCTAAGAAACCACTAATTTACTTCCCGTATGTACAGATTTGCCTATTCTGGATGTTTTATATTAATGAAATTATATAATATGTGGTCTTTCATGATTGGTTTTTTTCACTTAGCATAATGTTTTCAACAGTCATTTGAGCTGTTGCATGTATCAATACCGCATTCCTTTTTACTGCCAAATAATAATCCATTGCATAGATATAACACACTTCATTTGTCATTTCATTAGTTTATGGGTATATGGGTTATTTCCACTTTTTGGCTACTATGAATAATGCTGCTATTAATATTCATGTACAAGTTCTTGTGTGGACATACACTTCATTTCTCTTGGTATATAACTAGGAGTGGAATTGCCGAATCGTATGGTAACTCTATGTTTGACATTTTGAAGAGCTGCCAGACCATTTTCCAAAGTGACTGTGTGATTTTACATTCCCACCAGTAATGTAAGAAAGTTTCAGTTTCTCCACATCTCGGACAACACGTGTTACTGTCCATCTTTGGGGGTGTGATGGTATCTTATTGTGGCTTTGATTTGCATTTGCCTAATGACTGGTACTGAGTATCTGCTTAGCTACATATTAACCATTTGTATGTCTTCTTTGGAAAAATGCCTGTTCAGGTTCTTTGGCCATTTTTTAATTGGGTTACTTGCCTTTTTATTATCGAGTTTCATACCACGCTAATTTTCAATCACTAGGTAGAACTATTCTCAGATGAAAAGCTTACAGCTTCATTTTTTATACTTTTTCTCTCATTCAAATCATAGTTAGCAGAATCAATTCAAATTTAATTTCCCCCAATAAATCTGATACAATGAGCTATGTTCCTGCAC